CATATTCGTCCATTCTTTTCTTTTTCAAATCCTGCGGCTAGCTTTTCTCTCTTCCGCTCGATTTTGTCATTATTACTTGCTAGAGAATCCGAACCAACCGCGATCTCAGCCACAGATCACGTGCCATAACAAGGGGAGGAAACCCGAAGGAGGTTTCAGATTAACAATAGCAACAGATATTGGACATCTGGTTGGATCTCATCTCGAAGTGGGTGCCAAGTAATCGCTCGATTCCTCGATGTGATCATTAAATAGGTGTGTCAGATATCTTCACTGCTATACTTAGAGATTTCTTCATCCATACTGCGTAAGAGATTGTCGATCGCAAACAATTCATGCGCTCCCAAAGAATCCCAAACCGATACACGTTATTTGGTTACAAAATGGAGAATTATCACCGAGTTAAATTTTAGTACAACTGTAATTCAATTGTAACTCTTCCAAAGCTATTTTTATATTCTTATATTTCTAGAAATCGATATGAAAATTGAAGCAAAAAATTATAATGCATCGATTAGATTAAAAAGAACTATTTACTGCTTAAATTATTAAACCTTCCTTAAAAGAAACAGCCCAACAAATACATTACAAATTGGAGATACCAATATTAAGGAAATCCAACAATTTAAATATTTGAAAAGTGTTTTAACAGAGGACGTAAATTGCAACACTGGAAGCGAATTGATAGCGAAAGATGCCTTCCAAATGCTAAGCAAAGTATTAAGAAACAAGAAAATTTGAAGCAAAAGAAATGTAGTTCTACAGAAAGATGCTGAGAATACCATAGATCGAACATGTGAATAACGAAGAATAAAAAATATTTATACTTAATATAAAAAAAATATATGGGACACATGACGAAGAAAAGGGGTTTGGAAAATTTGATACTCACAGGACAGATTGAAAGAAAGACGGACAGAGGAAAACCACGTATAACATACCTAATAAGTTTAATTATAAGGACGGCGGAATAAGGTTTAGAAGAGAAAACAAAATAACAGCATAAATTAAGAGCTACAAAGTACAGGAAATTGTGAAGAGCCATAATCGCCAACAACCTGAAGGGACACGGTACAAAAAAAAAAGAAAAAGAAGTTACTATGTCTTTGTTATATTTATATCGTTTTTTCTTTAATAAATAAATATATATATATATATATATTTGTTCCTTTAATGATAAGTAATCTGTTTAGAAAAAATGTCGAAATTTTCAACAGATAAACAATTGCTACCTCACGTTTAGATTATTTTCTTAAAGATAAAACGCATAACTCTATCTATAAAAGGCAGGATGTGTGTGTGTGTGTGTGTGTGTGTGTGTGTGTGTGTGTGTGTGTGTGTGTGTGTGTGTGAATGCACGAATGCACGGCCATAATTTTCGACGGATTTGCACCAAAATTTACATGCACATGCTCCAAGTTAGCGGCAAGGCCAAGACCGACTTTGCATTTCCCAACTCCCATCGATAGTGGAAATAATCGATTTTTTCATGCTTCTACGGCAGTTTTCATGTAGTTTGTGGCCATCTTGTACTGGCCAGAGTGAGAGCCTATAGCTGGCTGCCACAAATAGGCAGGAAGATTCTACTGGCCAGCGTAAGAGCCAACAGCTGACTGACACGAATGTTAACTAGCATGCTAGCATGCAAAAAGAATCGATAGCTGCATTCGTCACAAGTGGGAAAAATTTAAATCTGCATGACACTTTACTCCAATTGACTCATTCGCTTGCTTAAACTCAACGTTGATTCTGATTCCGCAGAACTGGGTTGGGCGTGAAAAAGTATTTGTTGTTAACATTCTTTTTTCATTCAGTTTTTCCAGTTACGTGTCCTTTTTTTTAAAGCTGATCGTTTTGTGTTAATTTTGTTTAGTTCCTTTTTCGTAACAGATTTAATGTTTAGGATAGAGCTTAGAAAAAATCAGCAGTGCGAGATAGGCAAGAAGTAAGGCATGTAGCAACATCAGCACGACAAAGGGCACTCCTTTAAAGGCAAGGAAAGGCAAAAATATTTTAAGTCAAGTGATAGCGATTGCTGTATGAGTCGTACGATTTTTGAATCAAGCACGGGCAACGCCGGGCCATGCTGCTAGTTGATTTGTATTTTCGCTCTTTATTTTAAAAGAAATCTTTTAATAAAAATAGATATTTTCATACGTAGATATCAATGATATAAGACAGCTTAAAAATTTATATTTGTAAATAAAAACAGTAAATAGAGATAACTGTTTAAAATAATCAAGGATCGATTTTATGCTGTACAGATATTATCAACAAGACCCTGCTTCTAAAATTATTTTTATAAAAATCAATTTTTTCGGTTCTGACGAATGACACGCTTTGAGAAAGCACTAAGGAAGGCTAATGTACAGCAATTATTTCCTAAAGATCTTTCCTATATTTTACAAAGGATCAGTCTACTTAAGTAGTGCCAGATTAAAATGTTGCTTTTGTTAGATTTTGTCAAGCTAACCGGGTAGAAATATTTTATGAGCATTATCAAAGCCATGACGATAGGTTCTCGGCTAGAGAAAGAATAGATTTATTAACCGATTCGGAAAAAAAATGTCCGATTTTTGAATCAGTTTTTATTTCTGAATGAAACCTTTTAAACAGCATTGACGCATTTAAACAGCGTTTAAATTTTAATTATTTCTGAATTAACATATTTAAACCGTTTAAATTTTAATTATTTTTGAGTTGACTTATTTAAACAGCGTTTAAAATTTAATTATTTCTGACCTAACGTTTTAAACAGCGTTTAAATTTGATTATTCATGAATAGAAACATTTGAATAGCGTTTAAACTTTAATTATTTCTGAATTAAAATATTTAAACAGAGCTTAAATTTAAATTATTTCTGAATTAAAACATTTAAACGGCGTTTAAGTTTAAATTATTTCTGAATTACCGCATTTAGACAATGTTTAAACAGTCAAAATACACTAACTGTACATGTATGCATTTATGTCATCGAGTTACATGATTACTTCTGCCATTACGAAAAAATTCTAAAGGTTTGGACGCCAAGGAATCTTTGAATGCAATTTCTGCTTTTTCTTTGCAGCGCAATGTCTTTTGGATTAAAAATTCTCAAGGTACTTGAAAAATTGTTGTCAGTGGGCGAGAGATCAGGGAAATATGGTGGATGTGGCTAAGTCTCATATCCTAAATTGTTGTGTTTCTGCAGTGACATCCTGGAAATTGTTGTGTTTTTTTGTATGATATCCGTTAGCACCGGATACTAGTGCTGAATAAATATATTAAGCACTCATACTTCCCTGTGTATTATTCACCTCGACGATACAACAGAGAGAGAGAGAGAGAGAGAGAGCTTGGAGAATTTGATGTTTACAGGGTATATTGACATCCAAAAGGTTGGTTGTTTGACCGGATACTTATTTTGTTGTTGTGGAGTTTTATCGCAGTGGAGGCTTGTATTTGCACTAAATTGGTCCTAAACAAGTTCGACGTACAAAACGTTAGGAACTTGATATAATAGGTATTACGCAGAGTAATCTTGTTGTGGTCGCTGACTACTTTCGTATTCGACTACTATCGTCTGACTGGCTGACTCTCGTTTCTCTTAGTATTCCTACTTATATTAGGTGGGGGGAGTCTATTAACTATAGAATAGGTGTGTTTCACCGTATCATTTGTTTAGCGGCATATCAACCTCTATGGGTTATTTTATGCAAAAGTCTCAATAGTTTTTACACATTTTTATTAAGGGGAGCTGCTAATAATGGTTTTAGTGATACACGTCTTACTAATTAACCCATAAGGGCTATAGCGGGCAAGGATGAACCAAAGAGATGAACGCGGTTTAACTTGGTATTTCCTTGCTGAAATGAAAGTATCGATACCTCAGATGCACATATTTTAACAGAATGATTAAAAACCTCACCAAAAGGGACGTCACTAAGGAAATTATGGAACAAGTTCCAATATGTTCGTTGATAAGAGAAAAATATTATGCCCTTGTTTTTTTTAATTGTTTCACCCCACGAAAGTGGATGGAGCCATTAAGATACAAGGGGTTACTGAGAGTGAAACAAACTCAATCTACCTAGTTTAACAGTAAAATGATGAGACCTAACTGCCAATCTAGTACTACACTTAATTTCTTGAAGTCAAGGTACAAAATAAAAAAGCTCACCAGAAGAACTGCCATTAAAATATTTATAAAAAAAAGGCGCACGGAAAGTACGTTATGGCAGTTGGGAAATGACTGAAGCCGAGATGCCAGGTCAGGACCGATAACATTTCTGATTATTCATCAGATTTTGTCAAGGATCTCTAAATACATAGCAAAAACGCCAGACCCTATGCGGCAGCAATATTCAATGCACTGACGAATGAGAGACTTATGAAGGCGCTAGATTTGGCCTAGAAAAAATATCAAAAACGACACAGCGAAACAACTTGGCTAGCGGCAGACCTAGCAATTGATTTAATATAATCCTTCCACGATCGTCGTCCATGAAGGCACAATACGCAAGCCTAACTTTTAGCCGTAAAAATCCGGAAGAAGTGCATATTATACACTAATAACTATGGTACATATACAAGTGTTCCTTATTAAAGTTCAATTGTAATCTACTTTTCCGGGAGATCTAGCATTTCTCACTCTACGGCGGTGCATATGATCACTGATATGAAAATCTATATTGAAAAGCTGGTCTTCATCTAAACTCATACATTGCCTTCGGGGCGCCGTAGGCAAATTTGTTGCTAATCTTCCTAGCAAAGAATGTCGGAACAATTCCTGAGGTTGTTGGGAGTAAATCTAAATGATTTTTCTCATTGGCTGATCTTTTTCATAATTGATCTAACCGTGTTTGACAGTGAGTGTAGGCGCCCGGCACCGCGCTTCACACAATAATCATATCATTTTCAAACCTCTTTCCCGACTCTCCTGCTCACCACCGCGAATGAAGCATGTTGTGAAGCCTCCACGTTATTTATCGGATCAGTTCACTGATCCAAGCCCATCTGAATGGCTGCCTGCACCTTCTTTTCAGCACACCAATTCGATTCTGAATGTATCACTGACTCTCTCGTCAGCCGTGCATTGCTCGCTGCCTCTCTAACAGATATACAAGAACCGTGATGTTCTATAGAAAGAAGCATTATCAACTGGACAGATTCATCCAGAATAGAAATATAAATCAAATATGCCTTTAACTCTTCATCTCAATAGACGTACGAAACTCAAGTTTTTACAACTGAAGCAAATGATTTTCTTTCTTTTTATTATAAGATTTCTTACTTTTCTTTTCTATTTTCTTTTCTTGAAAATTTTCCTGTCGCCTTTCCTCCTCCTTTCTTTCTTTCTTTCTTTCTTTTATTTTTCTCATTCCTTCCTTTATATCTCATTTTCTTTCTTTTCTAGAAACATTCTCCTGTTTCCTTTCTTTCTTTCTTTCTTTCTTTCTTTCTTTCTTTCTTTCTTTCTTTCTTTTAGCAATTTTAATATACTTAACCGGAGCTTTCATCTTTTCTTTCTATTTGGCTTCCTTCCTTCCTTCCTTCCTTCCTTCCTTCCTTCCTTCCTTCCTTCCTTCCTTCCTGTAATCTTCTATTCTTTCTTTCGTTCTTTTTTCTTTCCCCCTTTTCTTTCCTTATTTCTTTCTTTTTCTTTCTTTCTTTCATTCTACTTGCATTTTCACTGCCTTTCTTTCCCCCTTTCTTTCGTTTTTTTACCACTATTTTCTTTCTTTTTTATTTATTTATTTCTTCCTTCATTTACTCTTCATTTTTCTTTCTATCTTTCGTCCTGCATTCCTTCAATTTTTGTTTTTCTTTCTTTCTTTCTTTCTTTCTTTCTTTCTTTCTTTCTTTCTTTCTTTCTAGAAATTTTTTATATACTTAACCGAAGCTTTCCTTCATATTCTTTCTATTTTTCGTGCTTGCTTGTTGCTTCCTTCCTTCCTTCCTTCCTTCCTTCCTTCCTTCCTTCCTTCCTTTAGTCTTCCATTTTTTCTTTTTCTTTCATTCTTTCTTTCTTTCTTTCTTTCTTTCTAGTTCCGTCTTCTTAGCCTTTCTTTTCTCCCATTTCTTTCTTTTTTCTACCATTACTTCTTTCTTTCTTTCTTTCTTTCTTTCTTTCTTTCTTTCTTCCAATTTGTCCCTTTTAATTAGTTTCAGCCTTAAATCTTCATCTTATTCTTCTTTTCGGTTCCTTTTCTTTTTTTTTTTCAAATTTTTCTCATATTTTTTCGTCTTTCTTGCTTCACTATATCTAGCTGTATTCTAACTCCAGTTTTTCTTTTCCATTTTCTCCAACCCTTCCTCCTTCATTTCTTTCTTTCTTCTCAACCTTTTTTTCAATTATTTTTCAGTTAATTTTTTCAATTAATTTTTTTAATTAGTTTGTTCAAGTATCGTCATCCCTAATTTTTCTTGGAATTTTCTTTCTTTTTCTATGATTCTTTCTTATTTTTGTGCATTTTCTCTTTTTCTTCAGACCATTTAACAAAATCCTTCACTGACACTCCATGTACTTATTTCTTTAACCTCTGACCTTTCTGTCTTTTCACAATTATTTGATTCTTTCGTCCTATTTAATTATTTCATTCTCCTTTTTCTCTATCAAGTCATTTGACAATATTGTTTTTCAAAATTAGTAGACTCGATTTGTTGTGTGTGTGTGTGTGCGTGTGTGTGTTTTTTATTTTGGCTGGAGTTTCTGTCATATCAGTAGTTCTGGTATACGCGTAAGGGCTAAGATAAGTTTTTCTTTTGTCTTCTTTCATAGTTGTACTCAAACTGAAATTTTTCATACATATATATATATATATATATATATATATATATGTGTGTGTGTAAAAGGTGCATTTGATAAATTTTTGTATACCAGACGCCATTAGGAACATACGAGTAGAAAACACAAATATATTAACTGCATCCACCTGCAAAAAAAAAGTCTAAAAATAATGGAAGCTTTAATAATAAAAAAAGAAAAAGCCAACTCTTAACAATATTAACTACGAATAAAGCCACAATGTGCTAATGGTATTCGGAAACTAAAAACATCCCTACAACACACTAAGACACACACAGAACGCACACATTCAATTAAGCTGAAAATCGAATCATCCTTGATAATGGCTAAAGGTATAGCCGAAAGCGCTCGGAAATATAAAACATTTAGGTAGTTCTTACATACCCTTTGTCCAGAAAAGAAAGCTCTTGTTCGAACACAAGAAAAATTAAATAAAAAAGCTTAACCGTAGTACCTTGTCTTTCGTTTTTAAAGAAATGTGCATAAATGAAGAATTGCTGCCTAAATACACACACACACACACACACACACACACACACATATATATATATATATATATATATATATATATATATACCCTGCTGGAAAGCACTTTATTAAGTCTCTCAATTGCGCAGACCGGTAGACGTGATTTACACTGTTTGTGGACATTCACAAAATAACGTTTGCAGTATAAGTAAATAATGTCTTTTTTATTTGAGTGATTTATTTTCTACGGTTTCGTAACCTTCTGCGGGTTTTTTTGAAGTCAGAAAATATTTGGGGATTGTAAGATTTTTTTGTCTGGGTATGGAGGAAGAAGAAGATAATGATTTTAACGATACAGATTCATAGCATTCCAAAGGTTATTTGCATGAAAGTGAATACAACGAACCCAACTGCAATTGAAACTCGGTTTTTCGTTTAACAATTCCGAGCCCTTATCGATTACACCATTGCATTATTTTGTTTAACTTTCAGATACGAAAATATGAGCAGAAAAATGCGCATTCTTCAAAAAGGGCGGTTTAATCTTTCCGGGCTCCGTGACCAAATTGTATAGGACACACATACGGCGGTTTCTCCGAAAAAGTGGGACGAAGGTTCGTACCTTGTCGGAGAGCGAATTTCCTTTACGAAGCCTCTAGATTGCGAAGGCCGGTAAACGTAATATACACTGTTTAAAACGCAGAGCGTCAACTCAAACATAGTTATACTCAAATTAACTCCTATGATATATATATATATATATATATATATATATATATATATATATATATATATATATATATAATTATTTATTTAAAAATATGATTCCAAATCGCGATATAAGAAGTCCCATGTTTCAAAAAAAAGAGCCGAAAACTTCAATATAATTATTTAAATTATTTAAATTATTTAAATTAAATTGAGTTAAAATAAGCTCTGTTCCATCTTCAAGCGAAATTTTTTTGGAATAACGTGTTTCTGAAATTTACGTGTTTTAAAAATTGAAATCAAAATTTCCATGGTAACAGCTAGGGCGAATTGTTTAAATTGGGTAGGCGGGTGTTGGGTGTTAATAATAAGTATCAGTATAGAGTTACTTTCGTAGGTGTCAAGTCAGTGAAAGGTGGGGGTGTCTAAATTTGAAACGGAAGATGTATTAACCCTCGTCTAGTTTGCATGTCTATGGAGATTTATTTATTTTTTATTTTATTTTTTTATGAAAGGGATTTGTGCATAAAAAAAAAAAAAAAAAAAAAAAAACTGTCGTAACGTTTGTTTTTTGACGACTTCATAAAGGGTTATCTTTTTTTAGGTATTTAAACTATTTATTTCGGCTATGGATTATGAAGGGTGTTATATTGTATGCATGTTTTAGTTAATTATTCAAACCATGAATCTGATGAGTGGGCTATGGATTAAACAAGTTATTATATTGTATGCTAGTTTTTTTTAGCTAATAGTTCAAACCAAAAATCTGATGATGCCTACAAAAAACCGTTAACTC